AGGATCACGGCATTGGAGCTGTCCCTGTCTCACTGATGCCACCAAAGTCATTGGTGTCACTGGGGATGTCTGCCAGCATGAGGGAGCCACAGCTGGCACAAGTTATTTAACTCCCATTCCCTGCAAATGGCCTTGCTGCGGTGCTGGTACCAGGTGAGATCCGTGTTGGAATGATGTACATGGCCAAAAGCAGTGCTGTGGGTTKGGGTTCCCAGATCCCAGTGAAATAAGAGCCTGGACAGGACAGAAATGAAACTGTGTGTCAGGGGCAGCAGTGGACAGCTGGAGCTGTTACAATATCAGTTTTTGGAGTAAGTTTTGCTACTCCTGTTCCCTGGAGAAAAGAGTCCTGGGAGTGGGAGCRATGCTGCTGCCCCAGGGCACCCCTGCTGCCCCCATCCCCATCCCTGGGCTCAGCCCCAAAAGCACAYGCCTTCAGCCAAGGCACCTCATGCCTGATTTCTTCATTGCTAAATGGAATGTGTGATTTTGGACCTGCACACGTGTCTCTTTAACACTTTGTGGTGGTGATTCCTCCCAGTGCTAGCAGGGATGGAGGGCCAGCTGTGGTCAGGAATGACCTGAGGTAGCTCCATGATTAGASAGAAAAATAAAACCCCAATTCTTCTCTCTGAGGAGAAAAATTATTTCCAGCATCACGAGAAAACAAAGCAGACCAAGAGGGATTATTTTCCCCAAACAAGATGCTGTTTGAAAACACCCACTTGGAGTCACACTCAATTTTTTTCCTCCCTGGTTGTTGCAACTTTGCCAAATCAAAAATTTTRATACTGAGTTGGCTTCTGAATTCATGAGACCAGCTTAAAATTCCTGATTTTTTTTTTTAAATTTTGAAAGTTCTCATTCTTTTTGCTCAGTGCCTACTGCTGGATCCTTTAAAGACCACATTTTCACATGTCCCTTTGACCAGAGCAGCTAGAAATYCCCTTTTGCTCCCCCCTCCTTTCCCTTTCTTCCCGATTCCCTACAGATTGAACGAATTCTGGACCCGGGCCTTGAAGCC